CCCCACCCCCCTCTCCTCTCCTCCTCCTCTTTTTTAGAAGCAGCGATCGGAGATGGATGTCTCTCTTTGCCCAGCCAAGTGTAGTTTCTGGCGGATTTTCTTGCTGGGAAGCGTCTGGCTGGACTATGTGGGCTCCGTGCTGGCTTGCCCTGCAAATTGTGTCTGCAGCAAGACTGAGATCAATTGCCGGCGGCCGGACGATGGGAACCTCTTCCCCCTCCTGGAAGGGCAGGATTCAGGGAACAGCAATGGGAACGCCAGCATCAACATCACGGACATCTCAAGGAATATCACTTCCATGTAAGTCAGGCGGCCGCTCCCCAGCCCGCCTCCCCCTCGCTCGGTGTCTCCCTTTCGCCCGCCCGCGGCCCGGGAGCCGGCCCTACGCCCGCCCCAGCTCGCCACTACCCGCTGCCCGCCGGGCGCGCGTCAGGCTCGCTCTGGCTCGGGAGATGCTCTCGGGCTGCGTATTCCAGGTGACTCTGGCCCTAGCGAGGCGTGATTCGGTGATGCTTGTGTGTACCTCTCCCGGGAGAGGACCCTAGAGCGGGCCCAGGGCTTGCGGGGCTCAGCTCCCGCCCCCGCCCCCACCCCACCCGCTGTAGGCTCATTTCGAGGGTGCGAATTGGGTTCTTTGCCCCCCACTAAATAGCAACAGTTTGGCCACGCTCAAGTGGAAGTAGACGAGGCTCGATTTCCTGGCAGAGGCGGCGGCAGCGATAGCGGCGGTGCAGGCAGCGCTTAGCCGGGAGGGAAGGTGACAGATAGGGACTGCTTGCGATCCAGCCGAGAGATGTTTTAACTATTTCCTTTTGAGACAGCAAAACACGCTGACAAGTAAACAAGTTGGGAGCTGGCTGCTCGTGGGGAGACTTTGGACGTGTCCAGGCCGTCATGGACGCCTACCTCTTCCCTTTCCCTGGCGCCGGCCGGCCCTCTCCAGCCCCATTTTGGGCATTTCTGAGGACACCCCCTTTTCCCACCCTCATCTGCATCTGGGCGCCTACAGATCCCTTTCTCTGCTTGGGCTTTGATGACTGCTCTGGATAATTCCGAGTCAGGATGATGAAGGGAGGAAGGACGTGTGTTTTGGGAAGGGGGTTTCTTCTAGCATGGTGCGGATCTGTTTATGTGGAAAATTGAACTCTGCTTGACGTTTGCCTGGTTCTGCCCCATCTGAGACCTGTGGTGACCTGCTCTTATTTTTCTTTAGTAGAGATGGGGAACAGAAGCATAGGAAGGGGAGGAAGCAAGAGCTTAGAGACCTGTGAAACTACCCATCCTTTCTTTTATTCCTTGGCCAGGTGACCCCCCCACCCCCACACACACACTTCCAATCCTGCCACCCTACAGAAGGGTGTGGATGCTCTGGGATGTTCAGAGGATGGTTCTCCTTTATTTCTCCTCAAGGTTCCCATCCCCTGGGAACCTCCAGGAGTTGGTAGGATGCTGAGAGAGGTTTGCCCCGAAGTGCTGGCCAGGTCTGAGGAAAGCATTTGGGGTGGCTCTTTACCTCTTGAAAGGACTCAAGCAAGAGGGGCTGAATGTGCCATTGGTGCTGCTGTCCTAGCGTCAGCTCTCTCTTGCTTCAGCCCAGTGTGATGGGGCCGCAAAGCCAGGAGGAATTGCAGTCCTGCTCTCTCCAAAGCCCGCCAGCCCTCTTGGCTTAATGGAGACTGCTTTCGTTCTTGCAGCTGACAGTTCGAGGGAAATGGACAGCCCAGGAGATGTTCCTGACTCCTGGCTCAAGCTGGACCCATATCTCAGCTCTGTTGTTCACCCCTCACCACCTTCAACCTGGCCAGGGATGATAAGACAAGCAGCCAAGGCAGAGGGGTAGGAGGAGGGAGGCAGGAGAAGTAGGATGAACCTAGTTGTCCCTCTCCTTCCTTGTAGGCCACAGTGTCCTGCATCCCTCAGGATGTAGGGAAAAGGGCCTTTGGTGAGATTGTCAGGAAAACTGTCTTGGAAGTGCACATCTGGGGGAGCCATGTGTGGAGAAGTAGACAGAGTTCAGTGGCTAGTCCTGGTACTTGGGAGTCCAAGCTAGGGATTTCCAAGGGACTAGGTGGGCTACCGGTTGAAGAGGAGGAGCCCCAGGGGCCCCATGTGAGTCTGTGGGAGCCAGTGAGCTGCATCTAGTTTGTTCCGTGTTCCATGGATATGGATGTGTGTATCTGTTGGATGGTAGCTACCGTGGGAGGCAGAGATGGTCACAATCACGTAGGCTCTTTATAGCCACACGGAGGTGTCACTCCTTTGAAAATGAGGCTCAGGGAAGCAGTTTGACAGGGAAGAGTTGGGTTGGTCTTTCCAGGCTGCTGGATACAATGGTGATGGGAAGAGCCTAGGGTAGCCTCTGACCCTCTTTGGCATTGGAGGGGACCCTAAGAGAGCAGCTGGGGGGATAGCAAACAGGGAATGGGGTGTAAACCCCTCTGTGTATGTCCCCATTCTTGTTTTAGGACTGGAACCCTGGCAGACTGGCAGGACTCTTTCCCCTAAATCTGCCTCAACACCAAAGAGCAAGGGAACTGTATTCCCTAGGAGCTGTGGGAGTGGCATATTGGGAAGGGTCAGAGGTCATGAGTCGGATGACCTTTCTTCACCCCATTTCTCCCCAGTGCCCTGTTATATATGTGACTGATATTGACTGACCTCAGGAAAGGGCCAAGCCTTTTACTCTGGAGGCAGACAGCCTGGAGAGAGGGAGAGGAGTCTTGTTCACCCTGGAAAGAGCATGTGGCTATCCCTATTTTACCCCTGAGGAAATGGAGGCTCAGGTGGTAAAGTAACTTGGTCCGGGGTGGAGCCAGCCTTAGGAATATGTTCTCTCCAGCACACGATTGCACTCTACAGGATGAAGGGGCTTGAGGGGCGAGTGGAAGGGCCTTGCCTTAGCTTGGCCTGGAGAAGTGCTCTTCGAATTTATGATGTTTGCAGAGACAAGGTTTTGAGGAGGCCCCCAGCCTCCTGTCAGCCTAAAGCTCTGGGGACTGGTGTTTGTTTCTAGGTGGGCTTGGATGGGCTCTAGGTATAAGGAGGGTGGGGCCTCTGCAGATTCACCCTCAGGTCCCTCCCTTGGGTGCTGGATGGATCGTCTTGAGTTTTCAGAGGCACAAGAGGTCCGTGACCCTGTGGTTCTGCTTCTCAAGGCAGTATGTGGGATGGTTCCTGTCCTATCTGAGCCTGGCCGAGGGCTGCCTTGGGTGGACGGCTACCACTGCTTCCGCCACTTCATTGTATCATGAAGAAATTAGGTATAAAATGTCAGGGTAGAAGTGTGGGATCTCACTTCTGCCCCTCTCAGTGCCAAGCTGCTCCAAAGGACTTTTCCTTTTGGACTTTTTGTTCAGGAGAACAATCCTTCTGCCATTAAAGCTCTTGACACACAGTGGCCTCATCTAGAAATGTCCATGCGCAGCCACGCCCAACCAGTCTCTGACGTCACAAAGGCAGGAGGGTGGTGGCTGGGATGGTGGGCTGTCTGGGCTGGGTTGGAGTGGTGTGCCTCCTTGGCTGTTAGAAAGAAGATGGAAAGAAGAAGATGGCATTTCTGGGCCAGATGTTTTTGAAACTAGTTGCCTGGGCTTGCAAAGACCATGGGTTCTTGGCTGGGATGCTGAGCTGCCAGCTGGGTGTCACCTCTAGCCACCACAGCATTTGGCAGCTGTCTGGTCCCTTTATTTTCCCTGCTTCCCCTGAAGACTCTCTCCTCACTGGCAGAGGGGGCACATGGGGCTTTGCCACATTGACTCTTTGATTCTCCACCTTTCTAAGTATCAAGGGGAGACTCAGCTTTGGTAATTACCAGTGAAAACTGGGGTCCCAGCAAAAGTGTGAACCAGGCCCCAAAGCCATCAGTCAGGAGGCTTAGCAAGGTGCTCAAGCCCCAGGATTGGAGCTAGGCCTGAGGGAGGAGGCATAGGGGACTTTGAGGTGAGATTTGGAAGGGGCAGTAGTTACAGCCCTGGGGAAAGAGATTCTTCCAGGATAAAAGCTGGGGCCCTGGACCCCACTGGTCTTGGGATTTTACACTGAGGCAGGGCTGTTGGTTGGCTTCAGGCCCTCCCTGGATCTAGAGTTTCAGCCTCAGCAAGCCCAGTAGGTCAAGCTTCCATAGGACTCCCTGGGGCCAAGGACATTGGCCCTGCGGTTTCATGGAACCTGCAAATGTGAAAGCTTTGGGCAAAATGAGCCTGGCCTGCCAATAGCTTTGACAGTACTTGTATACCAGCTCCAGGACAGTTGAGCTTGGAGCCTGGAGGCTCCTCGGGGTCCTGCCAGGCTCCCGCCACCCTCCTGCCTGGCCAAGTGTGCTGCTGAAGGGAGGCAGGGCCTGACACTGGCTTGTCTGTGATGCTGTCTGTCCTTACCCTGCCAGTCAGCCCTGGCTGGTCCTTCCTTCTGTCTGAGGAAGGAGCAGGGTGCCACCCCAGGTGAATCTTGAGTGGGTAGGTGTGGATAACCTGTGGCCCTCTCTGGGGATGGCCCTTGCCAGTATAGTGGTACCTCTACTGTGGCCTGTGGTTCCTATCCCAAGTTCTCCATTGAGTGGTTTGTGTTGAGGTCACAGGCACCTCATTGGCCTCTCTTCCCAGAAAGTAGCAGGTTAGGAACAGGGGAAGGATTGGGAAACACAGGTATGTCCTGACCCTTCTCCTGGCCCTCTTGAGCTGTGTATCACAGGGCTATAGTCTTTCTGAGCTTATGAATTCAGCTATGAATTGAGGCCGTGGGGTACAGTGTCCCTTCCCAGTTTGGACCTCTGTCATCCCCGAACCAAGGAACATCCCCCAGGAAGCTCAGCCAGGCCAGGGCTAAGGGTCCCTTCTTTGGGATGGTGGTCACTCTTGTGATAACACCAAGAGGAGGGTGTATTGGGTCTCTCACTGGCTGTGGGCCACTTGTCATTTCCTCCTTCTGCCCTCTCCCACATCTAGAAATCTCAGGTCACACAGACTTTGAAAGAATTTGTGATATATGACACAATTTGAAGTCAACTTCCTAGACCAAATGTCACACTTAAGAATGTGCCAGGGCCTGCAGCCTCTCCTTTGTGGCTGGGTACCTAGCTTCATGCCCCCCATTCTGCACCCTGGGCTCAGGGCCAGGAAGACATGTTCCCCACAAAGTTCTCAACCCATGGCTGGAGCAGGGGCCTCCACTGGGTGAGAGAAGGAAACATTAGAATTCTACTTGAAAGTATTCTTGCCTAGAAAAGGGAATATTTAATATTTAATGTATAAAGATACCTAAGCACATGATAAATATGAGTATTTGGGTTGCAAATTTTTTTT